CTTGAACTGATGGTTTTGGAAGGGGAAGCAGGACTGGAAAATGCCCTGTTGTCCTTTCAAGGGGGCATTCAGCCCCATGGAAAAAGCTACTTTTTAATGACTTAAATTTCACTCAACCATCTACTTTTAATAAAATATTAAGGGTACTTGATTTTAGCCTACCTGCAGGGGTAGCTCCCTAACTTCTACCTAGTAAAATAAAGCTTTCCTCATTTTTTTATATATGTATTTGCTCTGAAGGTAAAGCTCATGCAAGAAAAGTGTAATCTGAATTGTGTATTTCCCCAGCGCAGGTCATTCTCCTGTGTTTACTTTGGATGACCTCAGTTTGCTTTTGTGAGAGTAAATTTGTGCCACTTTTTTTTCTCTTGGCATTATACTTGCTTATGCAAACTGGTACACAAGAGAAATGCGCTCCCATCACAGCCAAGACTCAATAACGTCTTAGAGCATTGGGTCCCAAGTTGTTCTTCATGACAACAATTCAGGAAGTTTAGAGCAAACCTATGACTAGCTAGGAAGCAGATCCACAATGCCAGTTTTGAAGTCACATTTCACAGCACCTCAAACTTCAACTTGCACATCTTCACTCATCCTTTGTTCCTGTTGTCCCTGAAAAACATCTAGGAATTCGGTGTCAGCTCTGTAGAAGCCTCCTGCTAGCTACAAGTCACTTCAATTTTCTCATTTTTTTCTATCCAATTAAAATGTAATTGCTCAATGTTTCACTGCTGCTCATGTGCCCACACTGGGTAAAACCCAGGTACTGAGCTCTCCATCTCATAGAGCCAAGTCTTCACTTGCAGAAGGTGCCTGGCTTTGGGAGATGTCAGGTGGGCAGCACTGGGTGGGACTGCCTCTACCAAGCTTCATAGTGTGGAGGAGCAGCATTAGCAAATCATCTGCTCCACCTTGAAGCCAAGCTTAATTCATCCCAAACACATATTCAGTTTTCAACTGTCAGTCTAACAGTGCTTTTGCAAAGAAATTCTCAGACAAAAAGAAATTAAAAAGCCAAGAATTAAATTTCAAAGCACTTATGCAGAAACCCCACATGCAAAGAGCTGTCTTGGATTTTTCTTGCGGTGAACTTCCCAAAACGAAGGGGTTGCACCAGTGGCCAAGCACATACCTCACCCAAAAAGGTCCCCACAGAGCCTCTTCCAGAGGGGCCTGAGATGGATTTGTTGCCTTTTCAAAACTGGGACACTGGATATAAAGCCCCAATCAGCAGTTTACTGTTTTGAAGCTGTACTTACAAAATACCTGAAGTGGCTGGCAGCCAAGTACACGTTGTGGGAAGGTATTTTTCCTTTCAAGGCAAATCTTTTGTCAGATCAGAGACGTGGGGTTATGACCAGATGCTGAACCAAAGGGAAAAGACACAAAGATGAGCTTTTGACTATTGCCAAAACAAGTGATACAACATTAAAGATGAGCAAAAGCTTTAACTTAATATTTTAAGCCTCATGTCTGCAAATCACTTTCTGTTTTAATATCGTCCTACCCTAGCCATTAATGCCTTTCCTAAACTGCATATATCCAAAAGGCAAAATAACAGCTGGGAAAAGAACAACTACATGGGACAGAAAGTGTTGTGAATACCACACATAGCCTTTAAAATAAAAACAACCTAGGAAGAAGTTGCTTCCAAGAAAAACAAGGAATATGTGGAGTAACAGGTTAGTCTGTGTTTTGAACAATGTGTGGGGGAAGGAAGTGGAGGGAAGATGGGGTATGATATTTAAAACAAAGACTGCATATACTTCCCCCACATACTGCTCCATGATAGGGCAAGGAGCGCAGCACAGACACATTTCAGATAAAGCTGGGGACAAAAAGCCCCCCGAGTCCCTGTGAACTTTTATCCAGTGCTTTTTTTTTAAATTGCAGATTGCCTGGATAAAATACAGATTTGCTATAAATCCAAAGGGAAGGCTCCACTGCACAGCTTCCCAGAAGAGCCGTGGCTGGGAGGGGCCTCTGGAGGTCTCTGGTCCAACTCCTGCTAAGCTTTAAAGTGAGGTGTTCAGAGCCTTATCCAGTCAACTTATTAAAATCTGCAAGGGCAGCAATTTCACAGCCCCTATGGACCCCTGCTCCAATGTCATATCACCCCCATCAAGAATGTTTTTCTTACACCTGCTTGGAGCTTCTTTTGATGCCTTCTACCCTTTCACTGGGCATCCTTGAGATGCCCAGCACTGCCTTCTCCATAACCCTGTTAGGTAGATGAGGACAGCAAAAAGGTCTTCTCCTCCTTCTTCTTCCTTATACACCACATGCCCCAGTCCCTGACTAACATAGTGGCCCTTTGCTGGACCAGTATGTCCCTGTCTTTCTTGTACTGAGAAGTTGAGAACTGGACCAAGCACTGCAGGTGTGTCTCACTGGTGCTGAGCAGAACGGGAGGATGACTTCCCTTTGTGAAACTCTTCTTAGAGCAGCCCAGCAAATTAGTATTAATTTTCATTTTAATACTATTAACCCAGCACCAGCTGGGCTGTAAAGGCAGGCAAGCATGGCAAGTCCATCTGAATTCAATGCACTCACAGTTTCAGAACTGGTAAAGCAACCTAAGTCCCATTTTAACATAGGTATCCCAAGCAGCTTGAGAAAATGGGATTTTTATCACATAGGCTGTGACAATTTTGAGCAGTGAAGCATTTATGTACCTTCAGAAATGTAAATCCATGTGCTGGTCTAGCTTTTCTCAGGGCTCTTCAGCACTGCATCTGTGCAAAGGTCTGAGATATCTGGTCTGAGGAGTGTCTGAGAAGTCTTGTCATTCAGGAAATGCTGTTCAAGCCACAGAGACTGTGTTTTGAGTGGGATGTAACCAATTATCTTTGCCTTTTGTAATACATAGGGATATTCTTTATTTGTGAAGTAGCAGAATGCAAAAGTTTTGCTTGTGAAAAGCAAATACAACAGAAATGCTAACCCATACATTTCCTGAAGTCCTGAAAAGGTTTTGTTAAATAAAATTCAATAAAATTTAATTAAATTCAGTAAACCCCAAGAGTGTAATTGATTATTGACCCCTGTTTATCACATTCTGAATAAAATCTACTCTAATGTGGTAGTGAATGGTATGTATCGGCATGAGTCTCTCTGTAAGAGAGCTAAAAGATGTGAAAGTACGTGGTGAGAAATGTTCTGGTTTGCAAAAAGCTGCAGAATGGGAAGAGTTATCAATTTAAACACCAATTTTAATCATCGTGCCTTTTCCAAGAGGCTGTCACTCCTTCCCAAAAAACAAAAGATCATGAACACATAAGCCCAGCACAATTCCTGCAACCCTCTCTGGAGCAGCAGGGTCATGGGTATCTTCTGTTAGCTCAAATATAGCATGGCCCTGTTCCAAGCCTGTTCCTGCAACAGTGATGTGACCTTATCAAAAGGATTTTGCTGACTACTTAAAGATTCCTTTATTTAGTATTCTGTTGGACCTAGCTAGGACTTAAATAGTGCTGTTTGCTTGGATAACTTGATTAAAAAGTCACACAATGGCTTTGCTATGCATTGTATATTGACGTTATTCATACAGCAGCAAGCCCTTCTCTGCATACTCACGTCAGCAGCATATTGTCTATGCCATATTTAAACCTATGCGGACTAGCAAAAATAACTTAAATGGACTTTAATTATTGTGAGGCTTGAAAAAGGGGGGAGCATAAAAACATATCTGAACTTCAAGCAAAGAAGAACAAATGTCCTTGAATAGAAATGATGCTTGGAGTTTACTTGGAGTCCTTCAGAAACACTGACTCCTACTCTCAGTTTCCTGAAGGTGTTTTAGAGAGAAGCAAGGATTGGAAAAGAAGACATTTCAATTAAGCTGAAGCAGAGCTTCTGATAACTGTAAAGAAAAATCCTACATGGGTTTGTATAGCCGTGCTCTTGTGCACAAAAGTCACTATGAAATCACTTGTTCTGATTAAAATCAACATTTTAAAGGGAAATTCTGAGGAAGAAAACCAAGAAGGTCCCTCTATACTATTTAAAAGTCACTGAAAGCTATCAGTACATTGCAGGAAACATACAGCCAAATGTAGTTATATGCATCACTAATCTTGTACCTACGTTGTCACAGAAGATTTGCCAGCAATTTATCATCGAGTTATTTCTTCTGTTCACGGAAGGAAAACTCACTGTGGTCTCACAATCCAGCATCCTCAGTGGCAAGATATTATCCCTCTCTTTCCCCTGTAACTCTCTTCCCTTCCTACAGGCACTAACCCCTTGGGTATACCAGGTTTGGTTTGTAGACCAGCACTGGGAAACTTTATTCAGCAAGAAAGTTTTAAAATTGAAGCCTGTTCTCAATCCTGCTCAGTTCTGAGTCTTAATGGTGTGTTAGCTCACAGGCTGCTGAAGAGGTAAAATCTGTGCCTGATATAAAGCATGCAAGTGTTCTGAACCATAGAGGTCTATGATGCCTTTTATACTCTGGCAGAGGAGCTCAGACACTCCCTTAATGGTCATTTGATTGGAAACACATAATTTATTTCTATCCAGTAAAGACCTCTTTTCACCTCCTACAATCAGACAAAGAAAAATCAATTAAAAAAACAGCTGAAATTCTCTATGGAGTCTACAGAAGCGAGTCTCCCTTAGCTCCCAAGATGATGTCCTTTCTGTGCCCACCTCTACCACAAATCCCATGAACATCTCCAGCTATTCTCAAGCCCTGGTGCTGACGTCCAACCGACCTCAGTGAAACCACCTAGAAAACTCCCATTAAGGTGGATGCAGGATTTCTAAGCAAAGCTTTAAAGCATGATTTCCCTCCTCAGCCCTGCATAGGTGTCCACGGCCCTGTAGAGGTCATACCCTGATGGCCAGCATGTCAGAAACCCAAAATGCATGGTCAGTGAAAGCGATAATGAACAATTAGCACATGCCTCATCTGCACTTACTTCACTACCGCAGGTAAAGAATGGGCCAAGCCCAGAGGTACCGTGTATCTTCCTGAAATAACATGAGCAATTTCTTACTTTTTCTTGATCTGGAGAAAAACTTGATGCCCCCAGGAGAGGTAGACGGATTAGAATTGGGGGAGGACTCTTTGGAGGAGGACCTGAAGATCCCACTGAAGCTCATTCGGCGTGGGGAGCGTGGGGGAGACTCCTGGTAGGGGAAGGGGAACACTGTTTTGGGTGACCCAGGGCTATGTTTGGATCTCACAGGGGCAGAAACGGGGCTGGATGGTCGGTTCTGAAGCCCTTTTGAGAAAAGGCCTTTTGAGGGACTGCCGGCAGAGTAGTTTTCTTCCACCTAAGGAGGAGAGAAAAAGGAAAAAAAAAAGAAAATCACCATTAATTCAGGTCAGCTTGGGCAATCAGGATCTCTGAACTTGTTTTAACACAGTCAACTCCTGTTTATTTGGGTGGTGGATTAGCCAGACCTCATCTTCTCCAGCACCTGCCTCCACTGACAGGCAAATGCATGTGTGCCACCTCTCCGGGCTTCATGCTGCCCCTGGTTCTTAAAGATGCCCTGAGTTTCACAAAAAAATTACAACATGTGTGCATACATTTTATCATCACATATATAAAGCAGGATTTTCTTTACTGCTTTTATTTGCCACACATCTCCCTTCCCTGGACAACTGAAAGATGACTGGCAATGAATTTATTTAAGGCAAGGAAATACAGCGCCCCAAAGTCTTCCTCCTGAATTTAAGCACCTATCTGCAGTACTTACATCTCCATCGCAGAACACGACACAGCACAGCGCACAAGTTCCCAAGCGCCTGAGAGGCCTCTACAATGCTGGCCACTGCCACAACTGTGGGATTGCAACTCCAGTCCCAAAAATAGAGGAACCATTTTAGAGTGATGACATTCCTGCTAATTACCCTGTCCCCAAGCTTGGGTATGACCTTTCTAACAGCTGTATCTCTTTTGGGACCTGTGCTGGCTTTCCAGCTAGCCTGAATATCTATGCACAACACAGCACTGCAGTGTGTGGGCTCGCACAGTGAGGGGCAATAAAAATCCAGAAAAACAAACAAAAAAAAAGGAGCAAAGATTACATTCTCCCCACATACAATTAACAGAAGCTGACCCAAAACCTCTGTGGGATTTGTCTGTGCCTGGGTTATACATAGAGTCTATTTCCTTCTAGATGCACAAAGTACTTCTGTGGGTACGAGGCTGTTTTTTTAGCTGGGGGTGTTTCTTATGAATGAAGGGCTCTGTTCCTGGCAAAAGGCAGCGTTGGGTTTTAGGTCTCCAGGGGATGCATAAGCAAAGGCCACGATGTATGTGCCCATGGGCACAGTGTGCCACTGAGTTTCCAGCCCTTTGCATGCTTGCTCCTCTCTTCCCAGTCATGCAACACGAAACAGGCGGTACGGAGAAGACAGCAACTTCTACCTGTGAAGATGCCACCTGACATGTGTCAGTCTAGTTATGTACGGGTATTGTCGCCATGGGAGTCACTGTAGGGAAAACCAGCATCTTTTATTAGGATGATTTACACAAACAAGGAGATGAAAGAAAGCCTCATATGTATGTATGGCCCTCCTTTGGGTCAGTGAAGGGCTTGTGTATATGAATCCAGATAAAAATGGTCAGCTGAGTTTAAAACACATATACAATTAACTTCCTTTCAAAATAATGTTTAGCCACAGCTCCAAAACACTTGTAGAAATATGTACAAGCAGCACAATAGCCAAATAGCTGCTCCCTCCGTAAGACAGGATCCCACTTGTAATCTTTTCTGTCTCTTGCACATGCACTTTGGACCAGGTCCTCTTTTCACTTGGGATGGGACAGAACTGGAATGGGTTCTGCTCTGTGGGAATTGTAGAAGGGCCTGCAGATAGCATGGTCCCTCATTTGGGAAAGTCTCTAAGCTAAAAGGCAAGTGACATTTGGTATGGGAGATGGACACAAATGGCATGGGTCACCAGGAGAGGCACAGGGATGTGCCAGCACAGCCCTCAACAGCTGATGAATTCTGCTCTGTGCTCCTCTGCACAGCACAGAGATGTCTGGGAAGAGACACAGCAGTTTTTTACACCTGCACACTTATTTTTGACAGCATGGACAAAAATCTCTCAAAAATATACCTGCCCTTTTGCAGATTAATTAGTTGCCATCAAAGGGACATTTTTGGAAAAGATAAATCAATTCGAACTGAAGTAATGGGTACCAAAAGCAGCAACAGAATCTTGACAGTATCCATAAGAGAAGAAAAAAAGTAGTGTTTCGTGCTTAATGCAGTGGCCTGAGCCTCAGGTTTGCCTCCCATGGATTCGGTGTGCAATCTTGAAAACTCATTTCATATTACACATCTATTTCACCATGAGGACCGTATCTCCTTTATTCCACTCAAACTCCTCTGGCACACAGATGGTCTCCTGGTGAGTATTTATCAAGAATAATAGGGTACAATCCCTCAACTGAGACCTTGAATAATAACCACACTATAAGTAAATTAATAAACAAATTGCGCTTTTGTCATGGGTAAAATAGTCCCAAAGTGATAGCCTTTTCAAAAAAACTCATTAACTTTACTGAAATATCATCTGTAAATCATCTGAGACTACTTTTATGTTGCTCTGTTCACAACTATACAGTCCAGGAAACAATCAAGTAGTGCAACGGCACCTCCTTTTGCATTGCAATTTAAAACTGTCTGTTGCCAAATATACTGCCTGAAAGTGGAGAGTATGAACATTTTCAAGTTCACTTTAACCATAATACAAATCTACCACCACTACTGTAATTTAAGACTGCTTCCAGGACAGTAATTTCATTATAATTTTTCCTAAAGTGATGAACCATGACATTTGTAAAGCTAAGAGAAGGACATCATTCTGGTGCTACCCTTAATATGTCATGTTATCTTTTCTGCATGATTTCTTGGTTATAACAACACACTGATAGGAGACACTTAAAAAAGACTAACATGTCCTCACATGCTGAAGCAATTCTAGTAATGTAAAATGTAAAGCAACAATTTGTCAAAAACATCAGTATTCCCTTGTATGCGCAAGTCAAACACAAAAGCTAATTGTTCTCAAATTCTGAGCAGAAGCGGTGGGATGTTTTTATTTATTGCAATCACATCCAGTTGCTTTCTCTCCATCATGCCAGGCAGATGAATAAGCTAATTGTCTGAGCGCCAGGGGCACGCTGCTAAATACACATGTGCATGCTCCTAAATTAAAGGAAATTACTTCATCAAATTCTTCCCCAGCCGCTCCATGTGTTAATTACACAGAGGTTACACCTACCATCAAAGCAGATAAAATACCTGTGATTTTGCTTTGGGAATTACAACAGGATTGCCTTCTTAGAAGATTATTTGAGGTTAACGGATTGAGAGTTTTAAAAGATGATTACGTACTTCTGTGAGTAAAATCAGCAGCAACAACAGTTATCACAGCATATACAAAAGTCACAAGGCAATGTTAATTTTCATGCTTCAGCTGGGAATGTGGAAGAATCTCTGCTGTGGAATAAACCCCACCATCCTACGCAGACTCGGCGTGACAACTCTGGCAGTGGTGCTAGAGGCAGGTTACACAGCTAGATGGATCATCAGCCTGTTCTTCATGTTTTTTGGACTCACTTACTGAAGCTATGACAGGCAGGTGGGCACAAAACTCCCACATGTGCAGTGGAAACGTAACTGTTCCCCCAGCTGAGCTGTAGCAGCAAAAGTATTGTACCCTAGTTTCTCACATTAATAACCCTTGTACATCAGTTTGTGCTGGTCCAGGAAAAGCAGTAAAGTGAGATCGGGGAGAAATATGAAAGACACCTAATAAATGCACATTGTGATATGGTTTGTTTGACCCTGACTGGGTAATTGGCCTTTTGGAGATAAGGAATCCAAACACACAATGCAAGTACAATACAAATCAATGCACAAATAAGGTCTAATCAAACAAACTGAAAAATTCCTCTAAGTATGAAGAGTATCACCTAATTAAAAAACCAAACAAACAACAAAAAAACATTCCCTGTGTTGCCTTTGTGCAGAGCATATACAGAATCTTTAAACTCTGTGCCCTAACCTTGGACTCCTTAAACCTTACAATGAAGGGAGAGAAGGAAATGTCAGCTCCTGACTGTATGTCTGCAGAGAACAGTGCAGTGGGTAAGGCTAAATCAGCAGCTCAGTAATACTACCAGTGCAAACCTACCCCCAGCCTACAGCAATGTGCTCCCTGGTGAGGTTAAACAACCAAGCAGAGTCCTGATACATCAGATGGGCTGTTTCTAGCAACTGTTTCGGCTTGTTCAAGGCTAAACCAGTTACCTTACATCACACTGAGTAAATATATCCTAAAATGCTGTAAGACACTATCAATTTTCATGCTTTGGAGCATAAAAAGATCCTCAGCTGGGCACCAGGGAGAGACTTTGCTCTGTTGTATACACCAAATGATTTTAGGCAAGTTTCTAAAATACATCCAGAACTAACCACTGTTGAAAAATAAAGCAATGAAACGAGACATGTCTTACAGTGCTTGGCACCTAGTAGACTTGGCATCTAGTAGATCAAATTTTTTGAATGAAATGTAAAGTGATAGTGTGGCACCTGCCCCAAGCATGGCAGCTCTGGAAGATTTCAACACAAGAAATGGCATCCTTGAAAGCTGTCCCTGTCATTTCACCTGGATGAGGGAATCTTTCTCTATTCCTCATTTTTTATTTCTTTCTCCTAGCTATGCATGTTAATGGCTCAGAGTCATCCTGTGATGCACCAGCAGACCCACAACTTCATTTTCAACAGACAAACTCCTAGATGACAAATTCCCAACATAAACTACTACCAGCCCCAGACCACCCCATACCAGTGAATGAAACAGCTGGACAAAGGCTCAAACCGTTGAGCAGTTGTCCATCACACTTCCCTGCTCACTTACCATCTGATGAGCATTTAGTCTCTGCCATAAGAACTCCTCAGGTGCTGCCTCGGCTTAGAGAAAGCACAAGCCAGGAACAGTCCCAGGTTGCATGTGGCCACCCTGCTGTAGTGGGTGCAAGAGTTTGGCTATGCAACAGGACTGTGCCCAAGCCCTTCATCTCTGGGCCAAAAGTACACACCCTGACCTCTTTTATTTATTGCTCCTGTTGACAAATCCCAAGTGAACAACCTTGTTCAGGAGTGTTGTTAAGAATTTATCCATCCTGAAGGTCCATCCAGGTCTTCCTGTATAAGGTCCTTCTCTATGATGAAAAAACCACCTCTCTCAGCATCATCAACTAATTTGGTTAGTATGCTTCTGGTTTTCATCTCAGCCTTACTAGCAA